CACACACATGTGAATGCACACATCATACATGTCAATGTGCACACACACGTGTGTGTGCAGGAAGAGGTAGAATAGAGTCCTTTAAAGCAAGCTCTGCTCCATAGGCAGGTATAAGCTAGTGAGGGTTATGTTTGATTTTCAAAACTGGTAGCACAAAAGCAAGACTTTGTCACTCAAAAACTCTGTGCAATATATATACATATATGTATATATGTGTGTGCATGTGGACCCATGTTAAGAACACAACATGGCTGCATATGAATGGTATTTTTATGTCTTAGCTGACCAACTGGTACTGAAATAAAATGTAAGTATAGCTAGTCAGTGGTAAGCCTTAACAGGCCGTTGTCCAATAATGATTTAAAGATGAAACAAGAGGGCCAGAGAGAAGGCTCAGCAGGTAGGAGCACTTGCTGCTCTTCCTTCCAGAGGACCACAGTTCGGTTCCCAGCACTCATGTCAGCAGCTCACAACTCTCTGCAATTCCAGCTCCATGGAACACATAACATCCTCCTCTGGCCCTCATGGATTCTGCATTCATGTATACATATCACACACACACACACTTTAAATGAAGAGTAAATGGCTTTTTATTTCAAGATGATGAATTAAGAGAAAGAATCCTGACTTTCTGTGTATTTAATTCTAGGAAGCCCTCGTAGACTGCTATAAACCAACAGAGGTAAGCAAATTATTCTACCTAAGTGCTGTGTTAGAATTGGTTTTTGTCAAATCAATTTATCTGTTTTGAATACAGACGATTGGTTTTCACCCATGAGTGCCTGTACTCAGGCAGTGCCGGCTTCATTATTTCTAAGCCTAAATCTGTTTGGTTCAGGAAGATGTTATTAGAGCCGGGTGTGCTTATGTTTTAGAGAAAAATCGTCACTTCACAGAAAATTGGGAGGAAATGCAGTGTAATTATTGCTGGAGAATATAGCTTATGACTTTATGGGTATGCATTTAAAAAAATGCTTCAAACCAGGGCTGGCAAGGTGGCTCAGTGGTTAAAAACACAGGCTGCACTTCCAGTTGGCCTGGGTCCCCGGCAGCCACAGAGCAGCTCACAACCATCTATAACTCCAGTTCCAAGGAACCCAATGTCCTATTCTGGTATGTGCAGGTACTAGGCATGTCCATGGAGTGCATGCACACATGCAGGCCAGACCGTATGCATAAACTACCTTTATCAGGAAAATGTGAGGCCTTGTCTGGGTATTCATCTTGTGGTCTAAGAAACGGTGCATATTGCAGACTAGACTGAAGCAACTGGTATAGAATCTAAATGATTGAAAGCAAAAACAGGAGAGCGATTAAGGTTTTGATGAGTTATGAAACTATTAGCTCCCTCTCTCCACAAACTTTCGGCTTGTTCCTGTGGCAAATCAGAGAAGTCAGAAGACTCACCAGAAGTCTGGAGATCACTGGCCATCAAAGCGATGGCTGTGGTAACTCTTCTGAGTTTTGAAGTGGTAAGTTACTGAGAAGAAAATATACTTTTAGGAGTGTATAAATGTGAGTCTAAAATGTTTTATGGTTATTTGGCTTAAGGGTAGATATCAATTTGAGCTGTATATTTAAAGTCTCCAGTTTTAATTATATCCTATAGAAATTTAAATGTTTATTGAAAGTGTACTTTTTGTGAACATGACACACGTTCGTACTTCTGAAAACCACATGTTACGAGGTCAAGAACGAGAAGATTGTCTTTTCTCTTCTCCTCTTGGGGCATCTAGTTCACATATGCGGCACATTTTCTCTTTCCTTTCATTTACTGTTTCATTCCTAGATATGTATTTATTGTTTTTATTCATCTATTGACTTTTAGGGAAAGACAATAATTCTTTTACTATCAATATAATTCCTTTCTTTCATTCCCCCAATAAAATTATATAGCAGAATTTTATTAAATTCGTACTTGAAGTCTATAATATTATAATTTAAAAAAGTGTTTTCACTATGAACCAACAGTAAACTAGGGCCATGGCTCCTTTCCTGTGTGTGTGTGTGTGTGTGTGTGTGTGTGTGTGTGTGTGGTGGGTGCATGCGTGTATGGGCGTGTTCACTTTTGTGTGAGTGCATGCCTGTGTGTGTTCAAATATGTGGGTATGTGCGTGTTTGTGTAATGCGTGTATGTGTGTATGTAGCCCTTTGTCTTTATTTGTCCATTTTTTAATCATTGTTTTTACTAATTTCTTCCTCAGCTTTCTGCATCTTTTTTTTTTTTTTTTCTTATTTAGAAATTGGGTGGAACCTCAAAGCTCATTCCCATCTTGTTTTTCATGTCCTTCTCCTAGTATATCTTTCTAAAAGACTTCCTAGGCTTTAACTTCTAATGTTTTTCACTGACATCCTACAGTGTTCTCTGTTTCATATCTAACATCAAAGATTCCTTTCTGGACCAGTTTCCCCCCTTGTTTATTTGTTTGTTTTTCTCCCTGTTTCTGGGGTCAGTTTTGTTTCCTCTTCCTTGCGGATTTTAATCAGTTATTTTATGTTTAACATTATTCTGTTTATTCTTGGATCTTATATTGGGGTGAGTAGATTGCAGTCAGACCTTTTATGCCCTTTTATGTGAAATGAGATAAGATCAGTATAATCATGAACAACATAATAATGTCAGTCCCTTAAGATTACATGTTAGTGAGGCATCACCATCGTTGCTGTAAAATGCAGGATATTTACACAGCAAAAATCTTACACTTTTGAGAATGGAGCCCCCACTTTAAGTGATGCGTGATTACTTCAACGTCTTTCTTTGTCCCCCTGGGAAGATTGAGGTTTTTTTCAAAGTGATTGCTCTAACCCACAGCTGAAAGGCTGCCAGCTTGACTTCGGGCTTTCTGGAAGCAGAAGGAGGCAGCAGAACCTCCGTCTTAGCTGTTTGGGGAACAGAGCTTCCTTACCTGCAGAGTGTTGGGGAATGAGTGTGAATGAGTGTGTGGTGTTGTGTCAGGTTAAACAAGGCTGAGAAGGGAAAGAAGGGCTATCTGAGTAGCTCAGCGTGGAGGGTCTGCCTGGCCTGCACAGGGCAGAGTGCTCCCTCCCCAGTGCTTAGGGAAAAGCTGGCAGTGACCCCTGCCGAGGGGTAACCTGCCATGTGGAAAGGCCTACCCTGTGTGCCCTATACGATGTCGGGCTGCTGCTGAGAGGAACCAGATTGGTAAGTGCAGAACGTCACTTCTTAGATACTCACTTCGTGTTTTGATTTTTTTCAGTTCCTCCCTTAGAGAGCTGGTTATTTAGGTGAGAAGGCTTAGCCTAGCAGATTCATACTTTCATCAGGCCTACAGACTGCTTCCTGAACAACCCCCTTTGTGTCCCCTGCTTTTTGCTGTGTCTAGGGATCAAAATCTTACAGTGGCTCACAGCTTTGCAGGTAAACAAGCTGCAACGAAACTCATCTAATTAATTGTTTTGATGTGTGCATTTATGTATGTCTGTTCACGTGGGTGTGCAGGCATAAGCAAGCACGTGTGGCTGCTTAGAGGCTAAGGGTCAACCTTGCCTGTCTTCCCAGGTGCTGTCTACTGTCGCCCGCTTCTGTGGTTTGTTGGTTCTAGGAGAGAGTGTCCCTCACTGTCCTCTCCCTGTGGGCTAGGCAGTCTAGGCTGGTAGCCAGAAAGTCCTGGGAATCCTGCAGTCTCTGCCTCCCCAGTTCTGGAATGGGAGAAATAACTACCACATCTAGGTGGGGGTTGAACTTAGCTCCTCATGCTCTCCCAGCAAGCACTTTGCTGACTGATTTATCTCCTTAGTCTCAGACCTTGGTGTGGAGGTTTAGGAGATGAAAACATGTCCTCTGACTAGTCTGAAAAGAGGGAAATTCATAAGCTGGAGTTCATAAGCAAACATCTTTGGATTCTTTTTTTTTTTTTTTTAGCTCAGTGTTTTGAGGGATGGACGTGCTGCCAAGTTTGTTTATCCTAATGGATCCTTTGAGCGAGGTGGAGTGCTTTGCTTTTTAGTATGTGCTCATAGGACACGGCTTTGTGACATCTGGACCAAAGGAGCAGTGTACTGGCTTCTAATTCTTCCCGAGTTAAGTAGCTCACATGCTCCCAACCTGCACCCTCCTATTTAACTGCACAACCATCAGATGAAGGAAAGAGCTCCTCGGCAACCTGTCTCCAGTGTCAGAGCAGTAATTCGGGGAACCAGTACTCAACCCTGAGGCCTAACAATGGGTCCTGTGCTTTGTTTTCCATCTTGCCAGTCCTCACGAGTGCCTTGCCTCAGCGAGAGATTCGGAGTTCTAAGGGATGCTATCCAGTCTGAACTAGGTGCTGAATAATTAAGCATCTCCCTTTTTAGAGCAGCCATCTTGGGGGGGTGCTGTCTTTGATCAAAGCTCCTCTATGTACAATCGTGTCACTTGGAAGTCTGAAATGTAAACAAGGTGCCTTTGCTGTTTATATCCTCTTGCTGCAGAGGGAGGATGCAGAGGGAGGGGGAGAAGAATGTGTTTTGAGTTGAGTTTTTGGGGGCAAAACCAGCTAGTGCTATGTAAGTTTAAAGCAGGCTCCCAACCTCTCTGAACCTCCATTTCCTCCTGCAGCATCCTGTAAATAGAAGTACTCATATCTGTCCCCCAGCATTTCAGTAAGGGTTATTAACAGTAATAATTGTAATAGCAATAACAACAATGGCTAATTGATTATTAAGCTGGGCACTCAGCTAATCATATCTCATGTATTGAATATTTTTATGAACATGTTAAACATGGATGAAATCATCCATGGCTTAATATTTTACAGAGACTTAGGTCTTCAGAGCAGTTTTAGATTCACAGTATAATAGACCAGGGGACACAGCAACTTCCTGTCTATACCCACAGCCTCCTCCATTATCAACATCCCCCACCAGACTGGCACATTTGTACTTCCTGATGAGTCTGTGTTGACACACAGTAATTCCCTAAGTCCATAGTCCATATTCAGGTTCAAGCTCGTTCTTGTACCTTCTGTAGGTTTTGAGGAAACTTTGGCCTGTGTTCATCATAACTGTGTCTTACAGAATCGTTTCACCACCCTGCATTCTGCCCTCCCAGCCCCTTCCTCCTTCCCCCGCCCCACAACACTGGTCTCTTTGCTGTCTTCATCCAGCTGGAGTCTCACAGCATGTCACTCCCACAGACTGACTGCCTTCTTCTTACCCATCTGTTTCAGTCTCCTCCCTGTCTTCCCATGGCTTGACAGCTCAGTCCGTTTTAGTTGTAGATGATAACCCCATGTCTAGCCAGAGCGTTCACCTGTTGAAGGATGTCTACATTGTCTTCAAGTGTTGGCTGTGCTGCTCTGAATATTCTGGCACAGGGTTTTGTAAAAAGTTCCCAGTTCTTTGAGGTAAACTCCAAGGAACATGTGTTGCATCTTAAGACTGTATTTGGGTTTGTGGGACATTACCAAATCCTTTCAAGGTAGCCAAATCATTTTTCATTCTCATCAGGAATGAATGTTCCTCCTGCTTCAAATCCTCCCCCACATTTGGGGGTGTTGGTGCTCTGGACTTTTGGCCATTCTGAGAGGTATATATTGATGTTCCATTGTTTTAATCTACATTTTCTGTGGCATGTAATCTGGAGCACCTATTTGTATACTCATTTGATACCCATGTATTTCCTTAGGGGACAGATGTCTCCTGAGGTCCGTGGTTCATTTTTTTTTTTTTTTAAACTGGGTT